GTAAACCGCGACCGTCAGCGCTGTTGTGCAGACTTTCACCCCAAGCAGCCACCAGCTCCTCCTTGGTGTTTACGCATGCTCCCTGGACTCGGATCGGAAGGCTGAGATTCCGAACAATTTTGCCAAATGCGGAATCGTTGTTGAGATATACTACTAGGTATACTACTACGCCTTGTGGGGTTCAACGAAGATCATCCCACGTTGTGCGAACAAGCTGACTATTGGGTATATTTTGAAGAATTATTGGCCATTCGTTTCTTGGATCGTCGCAAATCACTTGGGAAACGCCTAATTTCCTGAAAACCAGGTAATTTTTCTATTATTTTGAATAATTTAACCCTTCGTCTTACGTTTGAACAAGTTCCCAGAAGCCTTGAGCCGGATTCAGCAGAAGAATCCACTTAATACAAATACATTGAAGCGTGAATCATTATAATCCCAGAGATTCCCATAAATATGCCGCTCACTGATTCTGAAAGGACTGACCCCGTACACTGAATTTTGGTTGTTCATTAACATTCGATGTTCGTACTATATAAATAATTTCATGTTCTGAAAGTGCTTTCATTAACTTTCTCATACTTCTGTAAAGCCGCTTGCGAAGCGTTAAACCACTGACCAAAGTATCCCGAGTTCCCTATTTGGGTTTTCAGGATAACGTGGCCTCAAAGGTTTCATAGAAGCTCCTCACGAGCAGTCTATAAGTGGCCCGCACCAAGAGTCAGTTCGCGCGATAAACGAAAACTCCACTCGAACTGACAAATGGGTACGCAGAGCTAAACAAACTGCGGTTCAGTCGCTCGAAGCCAGACGACAAAGTATTCAGCAACCGGTCAAAAGGTCACTGGTTCGAAACTTGTTAATGTAGACTGTTGCGCAGCACGCTACTGGATTAAAGACAGGCGTGAAAGACTTTGGAGCTTTTCAGTAGAGAATGGCCTTACTGATAGGACATAACCCCAACTGGAAACTTCTCGATTGTCCAGGTGAAGAACCCTAAAAGTACTTCACCGATATTCTAAGACATTTTTGATGTTTCTTAGCTTGCGCCTTACAAAACGCAAGACTTGTTTGAATCTGGACGCTCTTGTGAAGCAGTCTGGAAGCCACCGAAACGGTATCATTGTTCAGTTTGTTTATAAGATGTTGTTTACTTGTGCACGCCTCTGTCTGTCTTTTCCTGAAGCATCTGGTAGCAAAATCATACATTTTAAACGTGTAGTTCACAGAGAGTTACTGATTGCTTGTGCTTGCCATAAGGAATTAACCCTGCCTGTAGCATAATTCTACCCTTCTAAAAGTACTCTTGCGGTTAGCTCCCAATGTGACGGCAAAACTGAAAACGTGTATTCGATGGAGACACATGATGCGATATGTACACGTCCCATTTATTTTTTTTTTAAAAACGTAACCAGTTAGGCTCTAAAATGAATTAGGCGCTGAAACGAACTAAATAAATATAAATTAAAAATATTGACCTTTGTTTAAATTCTATAACCGAGGTGGTTACTAGCATTCTGAAAGGTTTTTGCCCTACTGAACAGTAATTTATCAGAGTCTAATCGACAAATAATAGCATAGTCTTAATTTTTTTCAACACAACGTTGAACGCTCGTAAGTCTCCCACAAATCACCACACTTTTTGTCTTTTGACGCTGTTCAACAACATAAACACGTTTGAAACGGCAAATTTGCATACGATTAGAATGGTTGCCGTGCCCCGAAAGTAAAGCATAAATCGTTCCGCCTCAGTAAATGTGTCAAGTGTGTTGCCTAGTGGCGTCGCGTAGAAAGCACCATATTATGATATGTTCTGTGTTGACGCGCTCCAAAACAGCGGCACGCACTCAAGTTTTGTTGACAAACGGCAGTTTCACAAAGTTCTATGAAATGAAGGTGGCCAGTCAGCCGTTAATAGCAATTCTGAACTATTTCTAGTTCACCTTACCACATGTCGGCTACACATCCCTATTGCTCACCATAGGACTGACCGTTTGTAAGTAGTTTCGTCATTAATTCGAAAAATGGAGATTTCAAATTTCCGAAAGCAAATGTGTGCGTCGTATTTTGGCAAGTAGTGTGGTTTTGGAACAACCAAGACATGAAATTCAGAATGGTCTTTGTGTCTGCTAAATGCCAGCAAAAGTGTTTGTTGGTTGACTGAAATCCATTCATTTAAGTAATATATTCAAGCCAGACAGAAGTGATAACCCTATGGATAAGTTGAATGAAGTGCTACCCCGAGCTCCAAAAAGTAAAACATCCGAACCGTGAGAACTTATCACTCTGCCGACATGTTTGTGAATAATACAATGCTTTTCCCCTATGCTATTGTGTATCATATTAGTACTCATGTTTGATAAAGAGGAATAACACTTATACCAACATACAAGAAGTTACTCAGTGACATACATTCCACTTTCAGTTTGATGCGTTGTGAAATGGAGGCTCCAACACTGTTGATTGCTTTGCATCCCAACTCTGCTGCGTGATCCGTCCAGCTCAGGTTGATTCTTAGTTCACTGCTAAGAAGGCCATCAAATGTTCTTTTGTCTGGTTCATATATAAAAGTTCTCGAAGGCTGATTTGGGGAAAAAGTGGGAAAGTACTAGCTTAAAAAGCATAGAATATCGATAAACATCGTTTGTTGCATAGAATACGAAGACCTGACTGACGTGCTAAAATGGTTTCTCTGAAATTGTGTTCTGGGTTTCGCACTAGTCGTTAAACCATCCGACAAAAGGAGCATACGGTGATCAAGATTCTGAGCACGAGATTCTGCACGAGCCAAAATGTTTTACATCAACAGGGAACAGAAACTTTTTGTTTTCTGTGGCAAAAATACTTAGCACCAGTGCCGAGCACAACAAATTTCGTAAAAGTTAGACGTCGGTTCTCCCAAAGATAATAAGAACGGAGACAATTTCCCAATAATAAGCGTAGACAAAATCCGTTTACCTGTTACAAAGCCCCGATAATTAGTTTAGCTTCATACCAACAACGGGAAAAGCTGAAAAGTTTCTCGAATACCTGGGCAAGACCTGTTCACAAAATCCGGAGGTGTGGAAGTTTTCCGTAGTGGTTCAATTTCAAGTGTGGGAGTATATTAGCAATGAAGAAATTCAGCGACTAATTACGCATATGAGAATATGGAAAGTGGTTGGAGACAGCTGGGGAGCCGACGCATTATGTGTCGGCGTTGGACGCTGCACTTTAAAATCCCGTCCAACAATTCCGACAGTGTGGTCCATGGCAAAGTGAGTGTCTTGATGATGCACGGGCCTGCTCTACACCTGGTTTATTTTGACTTGGGAAAAACTAAACTATACAGGGATTTTGAAGTTAGACTGGCTCTTCATACAAAAAAAACACGGAAGAAAATCATATTTTGAATGACCTTGTTTTAACTTCTTTCGTCCTAAAATTAGGCATCACGAAGATGTTTAAAAATTTGTCTTCAGAGGGAGACGAAACCGACAAATGACCGACCACAGAGGTGCTAAAGCTCACTGCAAACATTTGTTCTGCTAAAAACCGCGATGTTAATCTCAGAAAGGTACAGTTGCGTATTAGGTCAAATTAGTTCACCATCATTTGCTGATTTGATAACAGGACTTTAACGTGTTGCAATTTTTTTCACCAAAATATAGACGACATAGTCGAATTACGAAATGAAATGGAGTAAATCCGAAGCGATAATGAAGTTCCCAGCGAATGTGTGATTTCCGGTTTAGGGCGCAACGACAAAAACAACCCCAAAGCCGTTTTTGTTCCATTTCACCACCATCTGGCTGACAAAAAGTGTTTTAAAATAAAATAACTCTGTGGGTTTTGATATTTCTAACAAGAAATTTGGCGTTTCTTTGGATCGCTGAACAGTGCCAGCCAACCAATGGTTGGGTTATTCCATCCGGAAGTTAGTATTCCAATGTGTATTATTATCAGTAGTATGTTAATATTATTATTATATTTTTATCATGTTATTATTCCAATGTGCCAACATTTGTGTTCCACACGACATATCCACCCGAGGACAGAAAATGTGGTCTCTTGTTTTTTGAAAGTTCTCTTTATAAATTTTCAACTAAGAAAACCGTTAGTTAATGGAATGTTCAATTTACGATTCTCACGGGCCAAATGAAATAGAAATGACCCAAGACAAAAAGGAACTCTTTTTGTTTTATGTCACTTCGGCGTCACACAGAATACGTTTATATCAGCTTACTCGACCACAAGGGTGATATGCACTACTGTATAAACTGAGCTGGTGACGCCAGAAAGCCGGCATCGGAAACTATGTATGTTTGAATGTGTAGCGAATTTTCAACCAGTGAACAATCCGAAATATTTTCAGGTTCATCGCGTAATGTTACGCTGACGTGGTAACCTTACAGCGATCAGCGGATTGCTTGCGCGGTACGACAAAAATTTCAGAAAAAGAAAACTGTGACTGGGCTAATAAAATTCAGAACGGCCACGGATGCTCGAGGTTTTCAATCTTTTAGGGGAATCTAATTGGGTTAATCTTTGGAAGAAGTAATATTCTTTGAAGATTTTAACATGAAACCACCAGTAGACGCTTTCTCCTAACTATCGCAGTCGAGTTATACCCATCACCTTGGCAAATGGGGACTGTACACGAGAGAGAGAGGTAGACATATACTCACCTCGTTTTGGAGCTGACGCACTGCACTTGTTTCATTCACGCGGACGGGGGAAATAATCCAAATCAGTTTAGGTCGTGGGTAGACAACAGGGCAGGTGCAAACAAATGCCTGTAGGTTGCCCTCTTTGGGACTAGAAAGCGGACGATCAGAGTTCATCGGTCGAAGGATGGGAATGGCCGGCTGAGCTGAAATCGATAGACAGTGGTGAAGAGGTATTTAGTTACTGAATGAGACAATCATAAAACCCACGTGGATTTTTCACATCAACAGCAAAAGAGCTGAATTCAGCAGGGAGAAAATATTGTTGGTTATGCTGAGTATCATTTATTTAGGTGGCGTCAGTTAATGGTCTACAGCGCATCTTCTCAGTAATCATATTGCCGCGGCAAATTACAAATTTGTCGGTTCCCACAGATGAGCAATTTCAGTTTTAACCAGCGAAACCAAGCATAAATATTTGTATTTTTTTAATTTTGTTCATCATTTCTTTCATAATTCAGTGTAATATCGGAATTTACAGTGTCACCAAGTTGGTTAATTCTCCATATTCACTGTTGGGAAACTTTGTATGAATCAGATGACAGTATGGGTAATCATGGGGATGACATTATCGATCATACAGTCATTGGAAAATGAAAAAAGGTGCGATCCTGTGCTAAGGCCGTGATCTCAAAACAAGGAATTGGTTACTTAGCCTAAACGCACGATCTAGGTGTCCCATCTGACAGGTAATATGTGGTCTAATTCACCAACTGACGGTCAGTAATAACTGCGGCGAAACCGAATTCTACGAACTTCACCTGCGTTTGTTCAGTAGTCACAATTGGGCAGTGAACAATATATTGAATTGGAATTGGGCAGACAGTATAGATAGGTAGACCGTGGTACTATAGGAAATCAACAGTAAATCGTAAGGGGAATTAAAGAAAGGCTTACGGCTAGATTGAACCTTGGGCAGTTAGCAACACAGGATGGCATACGAAGGGCAGTGTGCTATTGGACAAATTAAACGGGAAAATTGTTGTTCAGTTCAAACTGGGAGAAATTTTCCACAAAAACCTCGGAGATAAATGTAAACAAATCGTCTATAGAAAACCGGTTGAGGTAGAGTCAACGTTGTATAAGTTGAACGGGTCAGTCTTGAAACTTGAGTAGTCACCGGAAGGGTAATGGATCAGGCTGAGGAATAGGGAAACAAATAATTACGTCGCGTAATTAACACCAAGGCGAATCCTACTAAGGCAGGCTTGTTTATATAATGCGCAAACCCATATGAGGAATCTGCATTTGAAAACTTTAGTCCCCCTCAAGCATTTCGAAGCGTCCTTCCAGGAACTAAATTTCTAGTCATCGCCGTTTACACCTATTTGTAGTGCGACACACTACAATTATGGCGTGTTTTTCCAAGTAATTACTCTTCCATACGTGTCGCCACCAAACGTTGTGCTGTCCACTGCATTTCGTGCCTCTTATTCTGAGGGTGGTGGTTGGTTTGCTCCGAAGACACCACAAATCCGAACAACCGATTCTCGCACGAACATTCGACTGAATGCGCGTTGTTTCAATTTGAAGCTGCATTGTACAAGTAAAGGGACAATAAGTTTGTAATCGCAACATATGAAACCTTAGGTTTCTTGTGTTGTTTAACTGTTTGCTACAGAGGCTTCACTGTAGTGGAAGGTACAGCGAGCGCCGGATTTCTTATTTTGAAACAAATGAAACAAATGGTTCTCACTGAGCACAGAGGGGTTGGAGTTTTGTGTAGGTTCTAGATCCCAGTTGGTTAAAGGTCCATTTTGTTTCTGTGTATACCTCACATCAAATGCACATAGATGGGGTTGTAAAGTAGTAAGTTTGGAAAGGGATACTTAACTTTGGTGTGCCATCTTCGGCCACGCAGATCCATGGATGAAGCTCATGATGAATCTCAGGGGGACTAGAAGTGAGGCATAAAAGTCTGACATCGACTTTCTCCTGCACAGAGTAGGTCTAATTTGGACAGATTCGGACCTGTAAAATAGAATTTTTTTAAGCCACTGGAGGCCACTAAATAACTTTGTGGGCAAAGAAACAGCCTCTGCTGCATTTTGCATGCACACACGCAGACAGCATTCCTGTTTCTACTGAAATTGAACTAACTGTCGCCTGGGGGGAACAACCCGGTTCGCTCAGACATGGGTCTTGGTGAACTGTAGGTATTTACGTCGTGACTGCCCGAGTTTTCCTGTAGAACTCGATGTCACTCGACGGGAGCTACGTACGAGTCTTCCTCGCATGGTTGCAACTTAAGAAACTGAGATGCAGGGGTTGCACAGTGAGAATCGCCACAGCACTGAAGTTCGATCCTGTGATGCCTTCAGCTGACAGAGTAGTTCAAAACATCCGACAGACTTACTTGCCACGAGAAGAAATGCAGAGGACTTGGCAGTATTCACACCAGCTACCACGGCACACTCGTATTTCCCAGCGTGAATGGAAGAAGCCTGCGTAATGCTGACCGTTCCGCGAGCATTTACACGTAAGTCCGGTATGGAATGTTTTTCTCTGTTTGTCAAAGAAAGAAAAGTACGATACATTACGGTGGAGAGGGATATGCAAATTTCATGAGAAACTACAAAATCGTCTGAACCTTCCGTTGCTTACAAAAGTGCACCGGCAACACGCACTCAGGCCACAGTTGGACAGTAAATATTTAGCTGTTTAACTCATCTGTGGGTGCCTAGAAAGTTCTACGTCTAAAACGGCCGTAGAAAGCATTTTAAGTGCTCCCTGTCCTCTAAATGTCCTTGATTCTCACTTTTTATAAACCGCCAGGCCTTGGTAAAAAACCCATTATCTTCAAGCGTACAACATTTTCGGCTTTCAAGTTATGCCCCCCACCTAGAAAATGTGAGTGCGCTTAAGTTGGCCTAACATTTGGCACTGCATGTTCGTTTTTTTTGTTGATTTCCCCTAAGAAAGTACCAATGCGACGAATGTTTGAAATTGTTTCGCATCAGACAACATGTTTGACATTCAGTGATGCTCGTATACTTCTTCTGCGGTAGTGCATTTTGCACATGAAAGGGCAACAGTTTACTCATGGAGACAAGGAAATACTTTATTCGTGGAGCCACCTCTGGTGTTTTGTGCAACCTGAGGTTTAGTCTAAGGATATAGGCGGCAGAGGGTGCCTTCAAAATCGCAACGGAAGGTTTAAGTAGTCATTCTAAATCTTAGGTTAATCAGAAGTGACAGATGCTTCCCACTAGTCATCACCCAGAATCTTTTTGAAGGTCATCTGTGCCACTAGGTGTTCATCATTAGTTTGATCTATATTCGAAGCACACAGCTCGGCTCTTACTGAAAAGAAGTGACTAGAGTGTAGTGTGCAATTTTGCAATCATCCGGAAGAATCGGCAGCCTATTGAACGATGTTCACCAGGTGGATTTCACGCGTATATATATACCAGGTGACTCATAATAGATGCAAAATATAATACCCAAGTTAAAACTTTAACATTGATTTAAGCGCTTATTACTTTCTGTACAAACATATATGCATTATGGAGGTTTATTGTGAATCGAAAAAAAACCACCCCTTTCTTCTATAACAAGTAAGAGGCGGTATCAGATGCGGGACACAGCATGTTTAACTTCTTCAAGCGTCACTCGTGCATTCTCGCTCTCAACTCCATCAAATTTTTCGGTTTATTTTCCTGATATACGCCAGCCTTGATTATTCCCCAAAAATCGATAATCCAGAGGTGTAAGTTAGGGTGACATTGGGGCTAAAAGTTTCGAAATTAACGAGCAATGACTCTCTCATTAGGAAATTGCTCTCGGAGGTAAGTTCTCACTTGGTTTGAGTAGTGGGATGGAGCGCTATCTTGTTTGAAGACGGTCGACGACTTCTTGTGCTGCTTGAGCTGCGGGATAACATGCGTCTGCAGCATATGGAGGTAACTGTCGCCGGAAACCGTAGCATCAAAGAAAAAGGGACGCAAGAGACACTTTGAGGAGAATCCCATCCACACACAGAGATGAGGGGAATGGAGATTATGGGTGAGGTACTGGTGAGGAGCTTCACGGGACCATATCACGCAATTGTGTTTGTTGATTATGCCATCCACAGAAAAATTTGCTTCATCGCTCCATAAAATGTTGGGAACGATTTCTTCATTGTCCAGCGGCCAGTTAGCGAACGTTAAACGTTGCTCCTTGTCTTCTTCCGTGATNTCAACTGAGACACCTGAGTTATTGACGAAGATGCCATGGTGCTCTGGGACTGAATTTGCTCGACGGCATTCTGTATAATGGGCGCTCTTGCATCACTCAGAGACATCCTCCCTTTGCCAGGAAAATCCAATCCAGATCCAGTGGACTCAAATTTCGCAATCAAGCGTGTAATGGTCGACACGGTGAAAGGATCTTTGATAAGACCATGTTTGGTTATGTAACCACGAAGTGCAGCAGTGGCCCTTCCACCAAGGGAATAATGAAGTTTCACAATCTCAACGGACGTACTGACATCCATCGTAAACAGAAAAAATGCCAGCAATTGCCTACAAAACCTCCTTAATGTGGCTACTAAATTAATGAATTTTGTTGTTTTTTATTTAACTGGCTATGTTTACTTACGCGATTAAATTTAACGTTTATTATGAGACACAGTGTATATATGCATATATGTATATGAATTTTTGAGAGAGCCAAGTTTTCATGTGACACGCTGCTGAATGGAATAGTTTCGTTTTCATTATTCGATTTGGAATTTTGCTTTCTTGCATTTTCAGTCTGAATGTGATGCGAATCAAATCACTAGACTAGATAATCTTGCTGTAAGGGATCATGCGTATACAGCGCTCGTTTATTTTCAGGTGATAAAGACAAAAGTGTGCTGCTTAATTTTACACCCCCTTGGATTGTATCGACACAGCTTTTGGGTTACAAATAGAAAAAAAAATCAGAAAAAATTCTTTGGGTGTAGATCCCGGAACAGTGTTTGATAGATGAATGAGGTGGAACAAGATTGTGCGTTTGGGAAGTCGGAAGCAAGCTGCAGAGCTACTGAGCTACAGACAACATAACAAATACACAAACGGTTCTTGCTTCCACTTTTTGAAGAAATAAATCCAGCAAAAGTTGTTGCTGCCAGGTCGATACCGTGCCGACTGAATGACAGGGAATCGCCGATGTTGTCCCCCGATTCTAACTTCTATTTGTAAGAGGTAAACCACCTGGATTCAAGGTCTGCTGTATTCAAACAGGGTTGCATTTCTTCTGACCACGTCAAAGTGGCCAGGCAGGCGCGCGCTAAACGGTTAGCGAAATTACAGAGTGTGGGCTAGCGGAATAGAACAATGACTTCAGGGTTCTGCACTTGACTAGCATAAGTTTGACAGAATAATGGGGGCTATTTGTGATAATCTAACTGACAAGAGACAGGGAGTTTTAGACGATAGTTTTGAGCTTGCCGATGAGAAAAAAGACGCCAGGCGTCCAAACACAATTTACTAAATAGAACGGTCAGTGGCCTTCCCTGGATTTTTGAACCGCGCGAGCGTGTTGGGCATTTTGTTCTTTTTTAATTAGTTTATCTATCGTCCGCGTAAACAATGCTGGATTATATGCCTACGTGCTTCAGTGGGTAATTAACACTACTACATGACTGGACGATTATTACCTGGGATACGCTGCATGCCATGGTCTAATTGTTTCAGGACCTACGTAAAAACGGTATGGTGAACAAGATCGTGACGCGACAGGATGGTGATTACTGATGTTTCAAAAGAATCGTGCTTATATTAAAGTACCGTAGGTCACTACACTGTAGCTCATCTCCTTAGAGCCTTATGGTACAAATATAATCATGCCGAATGGTAGCTAAGCCAACGGCATTGTCAATGTCCGCCATTCCTATCAGTAAATATTCCCACCTACTGTTTGGGAAAAAATTAAGTCCGAAAGACAAACAGGTGGATTAAAACGCAAGCAAGTTCTTTACATTCATTTGCAAACAAATTAGATTTTTCGGGATACTCACTCGTTTATAATGTTTTTAGGTAACTGAGTGCGCTTCACCGGGTTGCCTCTTGTTTCAGTTGTTACAATAATTGAGATATGGCAATACATTTATAGACATAATACACTACTCATAAGGTTGCTGAGAACTTTATACACAAGAGATGCAGCTGGGTTCCAGGTGAGTTTATCGAACAACAAAGTTTGTCCTCAAATAAGTATGTCTCGCCAATATCGTTCAATTTGGTTTCAAGTATAAGATTAGTTTGACGGAAACTCGGAATCTGTGGCTACCTGGTGATCCCCAAGAAGTGCAAAACCGGTCGTGTGCTGCAAAAGAATTTTCAGCAACCTTATGAGTAGTGTATTACGTCTATCCGTTGAGTGGTTGTCAGCTTATCAAAAAGGGTTGGTTTCAGAGGGACGAGCACTAAACACAGTCCACATTTAAAATAGCATCTGACTAATTGAGATTGTGTGTCGTTACACGACTCTTATTCTTTTCCAGGTCAAATCTCTGGTCGTGAAGCACGCGCCTGAGGCACAGGTGAAAAGATGTGAGCCGGCTTGTTTTCAAAATAGACAAATGCCTAATTTTCTGACAAAAAGAACCTCGAGTCAAGCTTGAGATTGCGGAGGTTTTTTGTCTAAATTACTGAAAAAGTGTTTTTTTTTATTATTTCGTGATCTCCCATTGTGTGACATTTTTGAGTTTTATACTCTTATTACTGTGAGAAGTGCGCAAACGGATCTCATCCAGGTACGCTTTGTTCCATCTGTAGTTCACCAATCGGAAGATTATTCCTGAGGAGAAACTGTCAAAACCTCGTGAACATTATTTTTTATGCCCGAGAGTAGTGCTGGTTTTCGCTCCTTGTTTTATACCCGCAACGACGTAGGTCACATGTTGTGCTGCATTAAACCCTGAAGTGAAGTTCTTCGATTGGTAACCCATTTGTCAGCCTAAGAGTAACTCGTTTTACCTTGTCCGTGTGCTACCGTTTTTTCTGGAAATACCACTGCTTCAAGGATGTGGGAGGATATCAGGATATTTGATGGGCTTTCATACATCATTTCAATTTGTGCGTTCAAGCATGTCGCAGCATGCAACAGACGAAAGTGTTTTATGTGAGCGCATTCAGTTACAGAACATAAATCTTTCTATTGATAATTGGAAATCTTGTGAACTTCTTCGTTTCAAGCCAAAATCCAACCGATTACCAATCTATGAAGACAGCAAACCTTTTTATTCTATTCATTTTTAAGTATTTCTCTAAACCTGTTAAATTTCTTTTGGGAGAGACGTCTTCTTTAGTCGTATTTTTATACTTCCTCACTTGGGATTCCCGTACTTTTTTTTAGGAAGACCTCATATTTTGAAAGTTTTATTTGACCTTGATACCTAAACTTTTTACCCAGCTAATTTTCTAACTCTGTGTTGAAACAGCCCAGCATATCACACTGTACCCGGTGAACACAGTTGTGACGTAGAAATCTAAAAACTTGGGAAGGTGACACATGCAAGACAGTATTGTCAGTTTAATTGGACCAGTTTCCATGACTAGCACATGTG